AATAGAATATATATATATGTATATATGTATATGTACATATATATGTATATATGTATATATATTATATGAATATATAATGTATATATGTATATCTACATATATTTGTATATCTACATATATATGTATATATATATGTATATATATTTATATTTATATATATATATATATGAATACATATATATTTATATATATATTAATGTATATATATACATATATATGTATATATATATATGAATGTATATATATATATAAGAATATTATATATATATATGAATCTGTTGTATATATATAAATATATATATATATATGAATGTATATATATACATATATATGTATATATATATGAATGTATGTATATATATATGAATGTATATATATATAAGAATATATATATATATATATATTAATGTATATATATATATATATATATATATATAATACATATATATGAATGTATATGTATATATATATATTTGAATGTATATATGAATGTGTATATGTATATATATATATATATATATATATATATATGAATGTGTATATTAGATATAATATATATATATATGAATGTATATATGTATATATATATATGAATGTATATATGTATATATATATATGAATGTATATATGTATATATATATGAATGTATATATGTATATATATATATGGATGTATATATGTATATATATATGAATGTATATATGTATATATATATATATATGAATTGTATATATATATATATATATGAATGTATATTGTATATGTATATATGAATGTATTATTTGTATATATCTATGAATGTATATATGAATGTATATGTATATATATGTATATATGAATGTATATGTATATATATATATGTATATATGAATGTTTTTATGTATGTATATATAAGAATGTATATTTGTATATATATATGAATGTATATATATATATGTTAAGGTATATATGTGTGTATATATGTGTGTGTTTGTGTTTGTGTGTGTGTGTGTGTGGTGTGTGTGTGTGTGTGTGTGTGTGTGTGTGTGTGTGTGTGTGTGTGTGTGTGTGTGTGTGTGTGTGTGTGAATATAATTATATATATTATATATATACATATATGTATAAAATATATATGTATATATTTATATGTACATATATGTGAATGTCTATATATATATATATATATATATATATATCTATATATATATATATTGAATATATCTATGTATATATGTATATGTACATATATATGTATATATGTATATATATTATATGAATATATATATATATATTATATGTATATATGTATTATCTACATATATATGTATATCTACAATATATGTATATATATATATATTTATATATGTATATACTATATTTATATTTAATATATACATATATATATATATATATTTATATATATATATATATATTTATTTATTATTTATTTATTATTTATTTATTTATATATATTATATATATATATATATATATATATATATATATATATATATATATATATATATATTACATTACAGACATGAATGTATGTGCATGTTAGTACACTTTCAATTGTAAGAGGATAGATAAATTACATATATATATTCACAACATTACACAATTGCCATTATTTTAATAATTTGAAACTAAGATGTTTTGTGTACATATCTGCTAAGCTTTTTATTAAGAGTGCCAGCTAATGTCTTATTGATATATTACTAATTTTACTTAAAGACTTTGGTATTTTACTCATTTTTACTTTGGTAAAAGGAAAACTCCATGGATGGATTGGATTATTTGAAATTGGTTTAATTTGTTTGTGTTATCATTGAGAAATTCAGGATCGAACTATTCATATATGATGATACATTCAAACATGGAAAATTATTATCTTGCTATATTCATCACATCAAATAGATGTTGATCTGGCTTGCAGTTTTTTGTTTACAGTGGTGTAAATATATCTCAGGAAGTTCACAGCTATAATAAAAAGAATCAGTAGTGTACTCTTGTGTAGGGGAAAGTTCACGAAAACAAAATAAGGAACTTGTAATAAGACACACACACACATACACACACACACACACACACACACACACACACACTCACACACACACACACACACACACACACACACACACACACACACACACACACACACACACACACACACACACACACACACACACCTGGAAAATTCAACAATAGTCCTTTAAAGATTGAAATTTAATTAATGTATTTGCTGTAGAAAATTGAAAAGTGAAATTTCAATGCACATAGAGGAAGGACAGTGGGATAAAGGGACAGAGGTGAACTATCCTTATTTGGATTATTTTCACTTGTAATAATCAAGGCTTAGTACTAAACCTTTGTACAGTTGATGGTCCCAGGCAAAAAGTGATTCATATACTTATTAATCAATTTGACCAATATGATACGTTGATTAGTATTTTATTATGAAATTATAAATGATTATATTAAAACATGACATAATTGAAAGCTGTATGAATTTAATATACTCAGTGGCAATGGTTACTGCTTTGTCTCATGATTAACTGGATAATTTCACAGACAGTAGCCTATTGTTCACATTGAAGTTTAGGGGGAAAAGCTTTTCACAAGTAGGCTCTTAGATGTTGAATTAGTTTCCAGATCTGTGGTATTTTGCATTTCAATATACTTAACTTCCATTACGAATAATCATCACAATGGTTTGTCAAATTAGAATGGAATACCTTTGAAAGAAGCATTTGTCAGAAATTCTTTGAGTTATAGAAAGACAAAGTGCATTGTCATATATTCAATGAATATCAATATATACTAATCCATCCATGAGGGAAGAGTGTGAATGCAGCTAGCGTATGTGTCCCCACCAAAGGTAGGTTGCTAGCAGCAGACACACTCAGTTACTAGCTGGCTCTCTTACATCTTAGATATAAAAAATTGATGATGAAAGTGTGTTGTGTTATTGTAAAAAAAAAAAAAATAATGATAGCAAAAAAAAAAAAAAAAAAAAAAAAAAAAGTTTTTGATGTAAGAGATGTGCATAGTTGATTTTTTTTTTCTTTTTTTATTAAGAATTAATTTCAAAGCTAAAAAAGAGCTTTCTGTTTATAGAATTTTAGATACCATTCAGTGCTCAATTTTGCATTGGCTTTTACTTTTACTTTTACTTTATTTTCATGAGATTTATATTCCTACATTCATTTTTAGAAAAAAGAACTTTACAATAATAACACACTATCATGATTTATTACATATTTGCTGTCTCCACTTTCGGGGAGATGGTGTTGGATCTTAGGCTTTTTATAAGTTTGTTGAAGAGCAGATTTGGCAAAAGAATAGCATCTCATGAAACAAATTCGTTTTTATTGTCTTTTGAAAGTATTTGTAAAGGAAACAGTAATATACACAAGAAAGTTTTATTTTATTTTGTATTGCTACAACAGTATGAACTTAGCAGGCTTGATTTTGTCAAAAAACAAAAACAAAGAAAAGATAGTAGAAGTGATGAATTCATTACTATATACTATATATTTTATTGGTTTTGAGATCATTGATGATAATCACAGTTGTTGTAACTATAGTTCCCTGCTAAGTTTGTAATTTTGGAAAGGTATCTTATGTATGTTGAAACCCTTGGTCAGCTAAATGGAAAGAGATGCCTGATACTTGATGAGAAGTATGATTGTGGGTGTGAGTGTGCCCGTGTTTATTGGGTATGTGTTCACGCTATACATGATATGTGAATAACATGGTCGTATAGTTTTAGAAAAATTCTGTGAACTCTTTATTCTGGAGAAGGAGCGAATAGTATGTGGAATCAGTGACCCCCCAAAAAGTTTATCACAAAGTACTATGTTTTTGCGTGGAAAATGAAAGGACTTTTTTTTGCTCAAAACTAACTTTACAGTAGGCTTTATATTGTCTGTCAGTAAAGACAGTGAGTGATGCCGTTGGTGTGGTGCATGATGCTGAGAAGCTTCTTCTCTTCTAGGGGCGTGGCAGAGACATTGAGGTGGAAGATCCAGCCACGCCCCCCTGGCCTGAGTGGCTGACCTCTGGAGTTGGTCATACCTGCCCTTTTTGTGGCAAGACCTTCCTGAAGAAGTTCAATCTGGTGACTCATGTGCGCATCCACACTGGTGAAAGGCCTTTCCAGTGTCCTCACTGTCCATACCGAGCCAACCACTGCTCCCATCTGAAGTCTCATGTCAGGAAACTCCATATTGAAAAGGGGCATCCCATCTAATGCACCATCAATGGATACCACATGTCATCGTGAAAGAGGCATCTTCTTGTTTTTGTGGCATGGCGGGCCTGATTAGAATGCAACCTGAAAATGTTGGATGGTTCTTAGGTGGTAACATGCCTTGTCTCATTCTAGGCTTGCCATGATGGAGGCGTTGTGAGTGGCAGTAGGATACCACCTCCGTCAGGGTTTGGGGCAGATGGGAAGCACCTCAGACTGACTTGCCCTTATTGTGGGCACACCAGTCGGGACAGCTACGACTTGAAGAAACACATAAGAACTCATACTGGAGAGAAACCATATGCCTGTCCACATTGCCAATATAGAGCAAGCACTAGTAGTAGCATCAAGTCTCACATGGACCGTCATCATTGGCATCACTGATGGGTCATATTATTAGGAAGGGAACTGATATTTGATTTGGAATCCAGTTGGATGAGACAAAAAGTGCAAATGATAAGTTGATAGCAGAAGGATATTTGGTTGACATGATAATTCGTTTTGTGTGGCATTCTATTACCAGTCGTGAGGATATCCATTTCTTATGTTTTTTATTTGAAGGAGACTGATATTTTCTTAACAAGAAAATTAACAAGACTCCTCCAAAATTATTTTTGTGATCTTTTACATTATTGAATATATTTTGAAGTATGATCTCAATGAACCAGCACCAAAGAGAGAAACATGTGTAGCATAATAAAGTTGTTTAACATATAGATTTATGTGTATTACTGATCATCAGTGATCTTGCATTATTTTCATTTGTAAATGTTTATGAAATGGGTGATACTGACAGAATTTTTGGAAAAATGTTCCTGGAAAAAATAATTTCAATAAGAAATTACAGGAAATTGAAAATAGAAATATGCTTTGGTTTAGTCCCCCGTATTTGTGGCTCCTATTTTTTGCAGGATGAAAGATGTATGCATCTAAACATAAACACATTACATTTTTATGAACAACAATTTCGTAATGAATGTCTTTTACGTGTAAAGGCAAATGTTATGGAAGTTTCTATTCTTTTTGTTTACCTCTTCACTTATTTGTTGTAAACTGGAGGAATTCCTTTTAAAGAAAGTGCTTAGTACCAAATAAGACCTGTATGTTGATATGGGGGGGGGGGGAAGTCTTAAATAGAGTGGGTGGTAACGTGCCTTATCTTATTCTAGGTGTTCCCTGAGAGAGGCCGTGGGATCACCACTAATCTTCCACTTGCTGCACTCTGTAACTCTAATAGGAAGAACCAGAGGTTTGGCTGTCCTTATTGTGGCCATATGAGTCGTGACTCCTATGATCTCAAGAAACATATTCGTACACATACTGGGGAAAGACCGTATGCCTGTCCACACTGTTCCTTTCGTACAAAGGATAGCAGTACCCTCAGAGACCATTGCCGAACTCACACACGAGAACACCGTTACAACTGTGCACACTGTTCATACCGTACCAATAAAAGTAGTGACTTTAAAGTTCATTTATTGAAGCACGATCAAACACTTATAAATGTTGAATGTTCAGAGGACTTACCGGAATGAATGTATATTTATGTATTTATTTATTTATTTATTTATTTATGAAATATCAGTGTGACTAAAGTTCAGATTCTTACTGAATTTTCTCATATTTTATAATTTTTTCCGTTGATTTGATTGTTACAAGCCTATTATGTGGACTAATGATAAGATAATACAAATACAGCTTTTGATGTTTAGCAAGATTAGGATGGTATTAATCTCCCTCCATGTCAAATTTTCATACTCATTACTATTTCAAGGAGACGGGAAAACTGTAAGCCTTTAGTTTTTGTTTGAAAAGAGGCAAGATTTTTAAGGCTGGTGCAAATATTCATGAAGAGATGTGGTTTGCTTGAGTTGTTGCAAATTTGAAAGCATTAGTATATAATTTGGATAGGGAGGGGTCAAAAAGAAGTAAGATACCTTCTCTTTTCATTATAGGACTGTGGAGATGGTCGAGTGCCAACAGTCTGCTCCTCAAGAGCAGGGCAGGGTATGGAGGGGGGAGCGATGTTGGCTGATGGAACTAAAGCTGTGATCTTCATGAAAGTTTGCTCTACCTGTGGCTACGTCTCTAAGGATATGTGTGACCTTCGAAAGCACATCAGAATCCACACAGGCGAAAAGCCATATGTGTGTTTATATTGTCCTTATCGGTCAGCTCAAAGCAGCAATCTGAAAACTCATATGAGGAAGCATCACCCAGATGTTATACCAGTATAAATTTTCAGGTTCAAGAAGCAATTACCAATTATATTCACGCACAAACACGCATGCACACACTTATACGTGCACACACTCATACACGCGCGCGCACACACACACACACACACACACACACACACACA